GTGAGACACGAGAGACAGGCAGAGAGAGAGAGAGAGAGAGACAGGCAGAGAGAGTGAGAGAGGGGCAGAGAGAGAGAGAGTGAGAGACAGGCAGAGAGAGTGAGAGAGAGATGGGCAGAGAGCAAGAGAGAGAGTGAGACAAGCCAAAAGAGAAAGTGAGAGAGACAGGCAGAGAGAGAGAGAATGACAGGCCGAGAGAGACAGGCAGGCAGAGAGTGAGAGGCAGAGAGAGAGAGAGAGAGACACACACACACCGTGAGAAACAGGCAGAGAGTTAGAGAGTGTGAGAAACAGACAGGCAGAGAGAGAGAGACACACACAGACAGGCAGAGTGAGAGAGTGAGACAGAGAGAGAGATAGACAGGCAGAGAGAGAGAGAGCGAAACAGACAGGCAGAGCGAGAGAGTGAGAGACAGATAGGCAGAGAGAGAGTGAGAGAAAGACAGACGGGCAGAGAGAGAGAGAGGCAGAGACACTGGCAGAAAGAGAAAGAGAGAGAGACTGGCAGAGAGAGGAAGGCAGCAGAAAGATAAAAAGAGAATGAGAGCGTATGAGAGACAGTCAAAGTTAGAGTGAGACACACACATACACAGAGAGAGAGAGTGAGAGACAGACAGGCAGAGAGTGAGAGACAGACAGGCAGAGAGAGAGAGTGAAAGAGTATGAGAGACAGTCAGAGTAAGACATATACACAGTGAGAGAGAGAGACAGGCAAAGAGGCTCAACACACACACACACACACAGTGAGAGACAAGCAGAGGATAGATAGAAAGAGTGAGAGAGTGTGAGAAAAGACAGGCAGAGAGTGAGAGAGACACAGACAGGCAGAGTGAGCGACGCGTGAGAGTGAGACACACACACATATACACAGTGAGAGACAGACAGACAGACAGACAGCAGACAGGCATAGAGAGTGAGAGACAGGCAGAGAGAGAGACAAACAGGCAGAGAGAGATAGAAAGAGAGTGAAAAAGTATGAAAGACAGTCAGAGCGAGAGTGAGACAAACACATAGAGAGACACACAGTGAGAGAGAGACAGACAGGGAGTGAGAGACAGGCAGAGAGAGAGACACACACACAGACTTATACACACACAGTGAGAGACAAGCAGAGGATAGATAGATAGAAAGAGTAAGAGAGTGTGAGAAACAGTCAGGCAGAGAGTGAGAGAGACACAGACAGGCAGAGTGAGAGACAGTCAGGGTGAGAGTGAGACACGCAGTGAGAGGCAGACAGGCATAGAGAGAGAATGAGAGACAGTCAGGGAAAGAGTGAGAAACAGGCAGTGAGAGACAGGGAGAGAGAGAGTGAGACAGACAGACAGAGAGTGAGACAGACAGACAGGCAGGGAGAGAGACACAGACAAGCAGAGTGTGAGACAGTCAGGGTGAGAGTGAGACACACACACACATATACACAGTTAGAGACACACACAGTGAAAGACAGACAGTCAGGCATAGAGAGTGACAGACAGGCAGGGAAAGATTGAGAGACAGGTAGAGAGAGAGTGAGAGACAGGCAGAGAGAGAGAGAGTGAGACAGACGGAGAGAGAGTAAGACAGACGGAGAGAGAGAGTAAGACAGACGGAGAGAGAGAGTGAGACAGACGGAGAGAGAGTGAGACAGACGGAGAGAGAGTGAGACAGACAGGCAGAGAGTGAGACAGACAGGCAGAGAGAGAGACAGACAAACAGGCAGGCAGAGAGAACGTGAGAGACAGGCAGACAGACACCGGCAGAAAGAGAAAGAGAGAGACGGGCAGAGAGTGAGTGAAAGACAGACTTATACACACACAGTGAGAGACAAGCAGAGGATAGATAGATAGAAAGAGTAAGAGAGTGTGAGAAACAGTCAGGCAGAGAGTGAGAGAGACACAGACAGGCAGAGTGAGAGACAGTCAGGGTGAGAGTGAGACACGCAGTGAGAGCAGACAGGCATAGAGAGAGAATGAGAGACAGTCAGGGAAAGAGTGAGAAACAGGCAGTGAGAGACAGGGAGAGAGAGAGTGAGACAGACAGACAGAGAGTCAGACAGACAGACAGGCAGGCAGAGAGAACGTGAGAGACAGGCAGACAGACACCGGCAGAAAGAGAAAGAGAGAGACGGGCAGACAGTGTGAGTGAAAGACAGACAGAGCGAGCCGGTGTTTGAGAGAGAGTGTAAAACATACAGACAGATAGATTGTTAGAGAGAAATTGAGAGAATGAGATAATCTGACGGAGAGAATGAGAGAGACAGACAGAGAGTGAGAGACCAAGGAAGAAAGAGACTGACAGTAAGAGTGAAAGAGTGACAGAGACTGAGTAAGGGTGAATGAGAGGTAAGGAAAGTGAGAGACTGAGATGGGATGAGAGTCAGGGAAAGAGAGTGTCGGACTGAGACAGAGAGAGACTGAGACTGAGTGAGACACAGAGAGATAGTGTGAGAAATTGATAGTGAGAGACAGGGAGTAAGTGAGAGACTGAGAGACGGGGATAGAGAGATTGAGAGACAGACAGGAAGAAGGAGTCTCAGAGTGAGGGAGAGAGGCAAAGTGAGAGAGAGAGGAAGGAGAATAAGAAGGAGAGAGAAAGGCTGAGAGGGGGAGAGAGTGGCGGAAAGAGGCAGAGAGCCAGGAAGAGGGAGAGAGATTGTGTGAGAGAGACAGAGAGAGATGAGAGATAAAGACAAAGTGAGAGACAGGGAGACTGAGAGACCGAGACAGCGAATGAGATGCAGGAAGGGAGAGTGGGAGATGGGTGGAGAGAGAGAGAGATAGTGAGAAACAAGGAGATGGGAGAGAGGGATAGTGAAAGACACAAAAAGAGAGTGCGACTAGGAGACAGACACGAGAGAGAGAGAATGAGAGACACAAAGGCGGGTAGAGAGACACAGGGTGAGAGAGAACAGAGTGAGACGGATAGAGTCACAGGGACTCACAGAGAGTGAGAACAAAGATAAGAGAGTGACAGACATGGAAAGAGGCAGCGAGAGTGACAGACAGAGAGAAGGGAGATACACAGAGATAGACCTAAATAGAGAGTGTCAGTCAGAAAGAGAGTGACAGAGAGATAAAAACATAGAAGTGGCAGAGAGACAATGACAGAGACATAAAAACAGAGTGACAGAGACAACCGGCAGACAGAGAAAGAGCAAAAGTGATAGACCATTAAAGAAAGAGAGTATGATAGACGGGGGGGTGGGGGGGAAGTGTTATATATAAATATTATATAAAATATATACAGTTTATACGGAGACAGTTAGGCAAAATGGTAGACAAAGAGAGAATGATACAGAGAGAAAGAGACAGACAAACAAATATTTATAGAGAAATATACAAGGAGATAGTGATAGAAAGAGACATATACACATACAGGGAGAATTTCCACCTGGGTCTAGATTTATTCCATGTATCATTTCATAGTGTCCAGGATTTGGCAAGTTTTACAGCCTTAATTTTGAAGTTCTATTAAGATCTACAGAAAGTTGATTTCAAAGTTATAATTTGCCAAATTCTGGATGCTCGAAAATGCTACATAAATAGTACGACGTGTGGACCGGGTGGAATCTTTCCCCAATAGAAAGATTGGTACAGAAACAGACCAAGTGAGACGCAAAAAGACAGTGAGAGATGTGGAAAATGTGAGACATATAAAGAGAGAGAAATGAGAGACACGCACATGCACACACAAATAATGAGCGATTGACAGATGTATCGTGAAATGAGAGATAGGGTGAGTAAGAGATATGGAGAGTGAGAAAGAAAGAATGAGAGATAGATATAGACAGAAAATGAGTGATAGACTGCAAGATAGAGCACAACAGAGAGAAAAAAAAGATAAAAGTGTGTCTCTGTCTCTCTGTGTCACTGTGTGTCTCTCACTCACTGCCCTCCATAGTCGGCAATTTAAAATTCCTCGCGCGGCGATTGGCGGTTGGAGTGTCACGCGGCGCGCGGGAGGCGGTGTGAGGGGGGGGGGGGGAGGGGGGGAGAGGCTGTCGCTCGCGGCTCAGACACAGACACACACACACACACACACACGGCCGCTTCCCTCAGCCTCAGCTCAGCCTCAGCTCCTCTCACAGACTCCATTTCTCCGCGCCTCGAAGCCAGTCCTGCGGCATGGGGGACAAGAAGAGCCCTAACAGGTACACACAGGCCACACACACACACACACAGAGAGAGAGAGAGGGAGGGAGGGGGGGAAGAGGAGAAAGAAGAGAAAAGAAAGCAACCGCACTCTCTCTCTCTCTCTCTCTCTGTGCCTCTCCCCTCTGCCAAGTCAGTCAGTCAGTCAGTTCAGTCAGTCAGTCAGTCAGCGTCTGAACCACGGCTTTAAAATGGTTTACGTTTCATTTTCCAATGTTTTTTTTTCTTCTTCTCCTTCTCCCTCCCTCACACTCTCCCCCTCTCTCTCTCTCCCTCCCTCCCCCCCTCCTGTTGTTGTCGTTGTTGTCGTCGTCGTCGTCCCCCTTCCCCTTCCCCTTCCCTCCCCAAAAGTGGCGTCTTGTCTTGGTCTGGAAACCAGGGTTTAAACCGAACTGTGCAGCTATGGCGGCCGACGCTCTGTGTGTGTATGTGTGTGTACAGAGAGAGAGAAAGAGAGAGAGAGGGAAGGAAGCTGTGGAGACAGAGGGAGTGAGAGAGAGAGAGGGAGTGAGAGAGAGGGAGGGGGGGAGAAGAAAATGTGAGGAAGGAAGAGAGAGGAGAGAGAGAGAGAGGGAAGGAAGCTGTGGAGACAGAGGGAGTGAGAGAGAGGGAGGGAGGGAGAAGAAAATGTGAGGAAGGAAGAGAGAGAGAGAGAGAGAAAGGATGTATAGAAGGAAAGAGAGAGAGAGAGGGAGAGAAGGAAGCTGTGGAGACGTGGGGGGAAGAAGGAAAGAGAGAGAGAAAGAGAGACAGAGAGGGGGGGAGAGGGGGAGCGAAGAAGAAAATATGAGGAAGGAAAAGAGAGAGAGAGGGGAGAGTGAAAAAAATAATAGGGACCGTCAGACGCCGTTAACATGACCCGAATTTGCCTTATGTGTGTGTGTGTGTGTTAAAGCGTCTTGTGCTTTTTATTAACACTCCCTCCCTCCTCCTTTCCTTCTCTCTCTCTCTCTCTCTTTTCACTTGTTTTCATCATCATCATCATCATCATCGTTATTTTTTTCTTCATCTCTCTCTCTCTCTGCAGTTTTATGAAGACTGTTTCTGCCTTCCTGCTTCTCTCTCTCTCTCTCACACACACACACACACACTCTCTCTCTCTCTCTCTCTCTCTCAGCTCTCTCTCTCTCTCTTTTCACTTGTTTTATTATTATTATTATAATATATACCTATAATATTTCTCTCTCTTTCTGCAGTTTTTCAAGGCCAAAGAGACAAGCCAAAGCCGGCTCCGAGGACGGGTTCTGGGACTGTAGTGTGTGCACCTTCAGGAACAGTGCGGAAGCGTTCAAATGCAGCATTTGCGATGTACGGAAAGGGACCTCCACTCGGTGAGCTGAGCTGATGGGTTTAATTCTCTCTCTCTCTCTCTCTCTCTCTTTTTTAATATACATTCCCTTCCCTCGCTCCTTGTTTTTTTTTAACCCCCCCCCACCCCTCAAAAAAAAATAGATTTGGAAGAAGAAAAGGGCTGGGTGGGAGGGAGGAAGATGGTGAAAAATGAGGGCGTGTGTGCCTGGAAATATGTCTCTTGTGTGTTTGTGTGTGTGTGTGTATATATATATATATATTTGTATTTGTTTTTTTTTAAATAAATTACTGCTGGGATCAAGACTTGTTGATGTTGATGTTACGCTGTCTGGTTGGATTTTTATTTATTCTCATCAAAAGAAGAAAGACCGGAACATTTCGAGGCTTTTTTTTGTGTGTGTGTGTGTGTGTTTTGTACTCGACTGGTTATGTAATGGCTTTTTTTTTTCTTTTCCCTCCCTCTTCCTCTCTTTCTCTCTCTCTCTCTCTCTCTTTTCCCTGTGTGTTGTTTGTCGGCCGATCGAGGTTTGGGTTCAACACCTTGTGTGTGTGTGTGTGTGGTTTTGTAAGCTCGGTTGACATTCTGGTTTTAAATGGCAGGCGGCTGGAGGTGGGCATGATATGTAGGGTCAGGGCAGGGGAGAGAGAGAGAGGTAACTTCGGAGGGGATAGTGGCTCAGGGGAGTCGCTTTTTTTTTAAAAAAAGAAAGAAAGTGCACCGATGTAGAAGGGGTATATATTTTTTTTAAAAAAAAGAAACGATACGCCTTGTCCAGGTCTGTTCACGTTAGTCCTTTGCTGGCAGGTTTGATATAATGTGCCGTTTGCAGATGGTTTGTGCAGTGGCTGTTGCTTTGTTAATCCATTTTTTTTTTGCATAGCGTCACATAGTGCACGGTGAAATAGTGTGAAGATTTATTCCCCTTTGTGTATTTTTTTTACTGGTTTTGTCGTACGTGACTCTGGGGTGAAAAAGTAAATGATTTGCCAAATGGTTTGCATAAATGCTCATTTCTTAGTGGTTGACAGGGGACACACACATACATATACACACTCTTGTCAAGAAAACTGTTTGAGGACACGTCCGATTTCAGGAACTACTCAAAAACTTGGGTAATTGGCGTCATTTATAAAAAGAGTTACCTTTTAAAAAAACAAAATGACGGCATTTCTGTACTTGGTACAGTTATGAGTAGTAATTGATTTTCTACAGAATTCCCTGTGTGGGTTGTTTGTTGTGATGTGGTCGGGTTCTGACTGTTTCACTGACGCAGTGATTGAAACTCATTGTGGGGAAACACTTTGAGAAAGTTCTCTGTTTTCTGCGGAAACAACTGACGATGCATGAACAGTTTCGCCCCAATGTTGTGAGAACCGAACAGATCTAATCCCAGATCGTTAGCCAATGCGTTCTGCCCCCCATTTAAATGGCTCTGAAGTATAGATGACTTGTTTTAGATTGTTCCACTATTATTCGACAACTTTTTTTCTCTTGACCTTTGAGTCATACATCCACGATTGTGCAAATATATTGGAGTTTTCTAAATGTTAAATATCGATGCAGAGAGCATTTGGTGGAGGCGAGTCCTGTGATTAAATCGATCCGATTTCGCAGTTTTCATCCCATGGGATTTGCATGAGGCACGTTGTATATAGAGGGGGAGGGGTCAATATTTAATACGTATATCTACTACTGGTGTGTGTTTCAGTTCAACCATTAAGCAATCGTTGCTAAGGTTTGTGTAGTTAACTCTCTTCCAGAATTGCAAGAAGATGCATTGGGACCACAAAGAACATTATGTTTATATGCGTTGTAGAAATTTAGGATTTAAGGCATAGTCCACAAGCCATTCCTGGCATGTCCAATGAGCAACCCCCCCCCCCCCCCCCCCGCCCATTACAGTTTGATTAGAATTGAAACTTGCTAGCAACATTTATTCTACATAATCAAGGTTTCTAGAAACTCCAGTCAAAGTGGATAATTCAAACATTAGTTTTGAAAGCATCTAAATAATATTTGCTTATCAATTGCAACATTATTAAACTTCATGGTAGGTATGCGGATTAAATGAATAATCCCCCCTTACGTTTTTTTTAAAAATCTTCAGGGCTTTAGTACATATGTGAGGAAGGAACAAAGCGTACGTATGTGAGGAAGGAACAAAGCTTTAGCATTCAAAGGAAAGTATGAATAGAGAATTTAAAGTTTCACAAATATGGTTTGTAACTTTCAGTGCTTTTTTCCAATGCTTATATGTATTGATTTTTTTCAATATTCCCCATTGCTTTCGTTCTTAGAAATGTGACAAGATGTTTGCAACAGTTAAGATGACCAAGTTTGCTGCAGTTTTATATGCTTGCCATGTCAGACTGACCGTAAATGCCTGCATCTAGTTCAGAGAAATGTTCAACTTTTTGCAAGCTCTTAGAGTGGATGACTGCATGTTTGTTTATTACTTCGCTGGTGGACAAAAAAGTAATGAAACCAAATAAGCTTTCTGAACATACACTGGTGTAAGTTGCACCTTTGCCAGCAGAGTATCATATTTCACAGAGTGCCCCAAGAGATTGGTTGGTTTGTAGCCTTGAGATGTTGTACATTTGAATAAAACAAAAACAGCTGATCAGAAAAAAAAGTTGTGCTCTTGAAGCGTTTTTTTAAATCTGAACACTTGGATTGGATACCTGTTTAAGATTAAATAGCAATAGCTTGTACAAAGAAAATTCAATACAGATTTTTGAAAGGTAAAACCATTGCATACCACTTGATGGAAATGGTTCCCTGCAGAGTTGAAGTGTGCGCTCTTCCCCTGTTGTGATCCAGATGGTACATTGCTACATTGAATACTTTACCGCTTTCCGAACTGCTCACGTCTTAATCTATTCCCTTTTGGTGCTGTTTCATTCCTAGTCCGAAACCTTTATTTATTTGATCAAACTGAATCTTGGGCTCCCCGTATGCTTATTTTTCTTTCTCTACCGCTCCTCTGACTAAAAAATAACAAATTGGTCACTTCAATCCACGTTTGTGGGACACTGCTGTGCACGATTGGCTGCCATGTTTCACCCACAAAATATACAGTCAATTCACTATACAGTATATTCTGAGAAGCGCTTTAAGACATCTGAAAGAAGTGATAAGGCGCTGTATCAAATGCAAGGATTATTATGATATATTCAAATTAAATTCTATAATTTGACTAACATGTTCACATTATAACAGTAGGAATGTTCTAAGCTGTGGCAGGCCACCAGGTGACTCGAGTACATAAAATTAAAACTATCTTAAAGTTTGATTGTGCAGTACTTTACTATTACAAAGATCTGATATAACATCACAAGTGTGAAGCTTAGCTGATCACCTGAACTCTCAGATTTAAGTTACTTACATTCGATTTGCAATCCAACTTTAGAATTCTGCTTGCCTGAATTTTGTTTCTTTGTATTTGTGTTTATACTGCCTTTTGTATTGTTAGGTAAGGTAAGAATTTTATGAAATATGGAATACTTGGTACATTATGGGTAAGATCTGTATGCACTCGAGAGCGGTTAATGAGGTTGATAGTTTGGACAGCTTCGAAGCCAATATGCAGCAGGCTCTCTTAAGAAAATGCAGTAATGGCAAATATAAAGGACTAACCCAACTTTCATCCCAATCTGCATTTTGGAGCCTTTTTGATTCCCAACTGGAAGAAAGCAACATTTGGTCTTTTACTTGGGGGCAGGAATTTTTTTTGTTGAAAATACAGTACATACAAAGTGCAACTTTAAGTGGAACTAATTATAAAAAGGAGCAACAAAATAATGGGGTTTGTGCTTCCATAATTTTATTACTGCATATTTTGTATTTGTGAAGTTTCACCACAACTTAATCAACATACAGTCTTAAGATCTGATCTCAGTCCTCTTGACAATGATCCATTTCAGCTAGGTGTATTCTTGGTGACTGCTACCCCCAATTAGTTATTACAGCATTTCCCTTTAGGTGGTAGCTTTGATGATATACATTTCTGCTAATTCCATAAATTCTGCTAACCCTCCAGTAACCTAGCCAAGTAATATGTGGGCCTGTTGTGAACCTATCCACCATGGGGGATATCGCAATCCTGTTTTAAAACAATGGCACTTGTTTGTATAGATTTTGATCCTTGGTACCCTTTTTTATGATCTGACACGAGAACCTGGCTAGTGCAGGGACTTGAGCTGGCTCTGCCAAGATGTCACTTGGCTGTTGATAGAACCCTAGCTTCTGTGTCAGAAGGTTGTGTTGTTCAAGCCCCAGTTGAGCTATATAGAAGGCTGACATTCCCATACATTATGGTGGGAGCATCCTGCATTGATGGAATGTTTGAATAAATGGGAGATTGGGATTAAATTAAATCAAGTGGCCTGTGAGGTAAACCACTTGCAGATTTGACAGTCAAACAGTTTGTTTCTGTACTGTAACATTTTAAGATTATTTGCAAGCATAAAAATGCAAGTTTTTTTTTAATTGCTTGGGGGCTACCTACTTCCTGTGAGGAAATAACTGCCCTTAGATCCATGCTTCTACATGTTGGTGTGGTTAAGTTTGGAAGCATGCAATGCAGGGGATCAGATGTGAATCCCCTCTGTAACATACCACTTGTGGAGTTGTACAATGGATCTCTGCCATGCTCTCTGCTGCTGTGTGTAGAATTATAATTTGCAGTTTAAACTATGAAGTCAGAATGGAGTATGCAAAGTACATGAGTGAAATGCAGTGCCGTTGCCCTGAGGCAAGTACAAGTGATGCATTGAAATGGATGGTTATGAAAGCCCAGTGTAGGAGTAATGGGGAATTTCATGTACTGTACCTGCCATTTATTGTTCCTCTTGTACTTTTTGTATCCTTCAGTGGAACGATCTCTGGAGTGAGAATTGCATCCAAGAAATCAGCACATTGTTCCCAAAAGAATACTGTAATTGAATCATCATGTGAATGTGAATTCATTTTTATATGCCTCAAATGAGCACAAGGAAAATAATTGCTAGTTTCTCA